AGTTGACCATTCATTTCAATTCTATTTTAAACTAAAATGAAAAAACTTTGTTTCTTATATTTTCTCATTTACTATACGTCTCTCTCTCTCTCTCTCTCTCTCTTTCTCTCGTATGACTATATATTTTTTAGTGACAAATAAAACAAATATATTATTATATAATAATTTTTTTAGCATTTTATTTATTTTATTTTTGTATATCAAAGACATATTTTTTGAGACAAAGATTTATATACCATATTATAAAGTTTAATATGGTATTCAATTGATGGCCAATTTATATGATAAACAGTCGATATGTATGCGTGTGTAATATGCAGACACACTGAGTGCCACACCACTGGCCCAATACATCCCATATAAGTGATTGACAACTACTCGCACCCATCGCTCACACCGTTATGTTATAACTTATATAAAACATAACGTGTAGTAATTTTTCGGACAAATGTTATTGTATATCCCAATACTTGACAAGCGATTCATGCGAACGGCAACACTGCCTGTCCGTCCCCTTCCCTGTGCCCGACCATTACGACTACTGTTTAGCATTTTTTTCATCAAAAAATCGCAAATATTACACATATTTCTCGCATATTTATATAAATATATTTTTATATTCCTTCAAACATTCTCTCTCTCTCTCTCTCTCTCTCTCTCTCTCTCGCATGACATGTATGGCCTGTTTGGCCGGTCGTAGTCGCTGTTTGAATGACAAAAAACTCAAACTTCAAAAACAACATTACTATAACATTAAGCGATGGCTTTTAGGATATATCACATATTCTGTCCATTCACTCACACATAACAACAATTTTCATAATACAAGTCCGAGATTTTTATTTATGTGTCAAATATGCTCAGTGTCTGGCCATCACACCAGCACTGCCCTAACATACATGTGCCCATTCAAGTCTATGGCCAAAACACTACTGGCCTCTCACACACACACACACACACTCTTATGGCACAACTGGGATTTGGATGAATGTTAGGACACATTGACCTGACATTCAGATATATTTATATAAAGAAATTTGCTATAAATTACATGCACTATATGTTTGGGTGGATATACTTTATATAGTGGTATACTATTTATACATCACAAGAACACATCTCATCATTATTTATATTGAGTGAAAAAGTTAGTGAAAAATTGAAAATTTATTATATTTGATGTTTATATCAATTGATGTTAAGAGGCTATAAAATGTGTACCCAATATATTCACAGTAATATAATAGCGACTGTGAATTGAAATATTGAAATTGTAAACTAGCACCATTTTCCTATGTTCTAAACGTATAGGGATGGCACTCATCGTGATGAGAGAGAGAGAGAGAGAGAGAGAGAGAGAGAGAGCACTGGTAGTTGCTAATCGATGAAAAGGTCAAGTTTCAGGTAAACATACGTTCATATTATATACAGTGCGAGAGAGAGAGAGAGAGAGAGAGAG